TTTTCGAAATATTTAACGCATTTTCTGCATATTAGTGCATTCTTTGGTTTTTTTTCCAATTTTTTTGAGACTAAAAAATACAGCACCCGCAATGTTGTAGCGTTCCGAGACTTCCCTGAAGATGTAAGAAGACATAATTCTTGTGCAGAACATATATTTCCCACGGAGAAGGTGTTTGGACTACTGGCTGGTCCGGTGGTACAACTGTAATATAATGGCAGTTTATTTCTTGGGATTGGTAAGGCGCCACTTTTGAAACTCTGAGTTATCCTTTTTGTACCCCTCTGTGTGGGCTGGGCTTCCAGGCCATGCCACTAGCCCAAACACCTTCTCTTTGTTGAATTTGTATATTCTTCCCCAGTATTATGTCTTGTTTTGTCTTCGGGGAAGTCTAGGGAGGCTACACAGCAACTAAATCAAAATGCCTCCCAATTAGTACCAAGAGGCAAACAGCCATCGTAATACAGTGTGTGCCTATTGTAAAGGCACAGTCCCATAGCTCGAGACGTTTTACAAATTTTTCCAATTTCACTTTTTTTTCCTCCTTTGAGTAAACTGTTCCGCATTTGGGAGCATTACCTGCCTTCGAAAATGACTTTGGAACTATAATGTGGCCTGATTCTTTTGACATGTTTCTAGGGCTAGAAAGCTTGGAGTGAGAAGTAATGGCACCGTTACCAAAACCCTGGCTATGACGGACGGTTAACGTCGTAAACACATGTAATTTGTGTTTTTGCTTTAGTTTATTGCAAATAAGGCTAACGAGATGTGTCCTGCTACTTTTTGTATTTCCGTGCTTGCTGCCTTTTACACCTGCTTGATCTCATCCTATTCGTAGCTCTGTGTCTTTTTGAGTGGCGGTGGCTGCTCAGATAACTCCGAGGTAAAGCCACCGTTTTGAAATGCACTCTACGCTTACTACATCAGCTGCCTAATTGAAAGCTGCGCTACGCAATCAAGAAAGTTATTTTCTCCCCCTTCTAAAAAGGCATATTTAGCGCCCGATTGCGAATAACAGTTAGCAGAGACTTGATTGTCCAGTGCGTGCGGGCGGAAAATTGGATTGCCTCTTAAAGCAGCACACTACTGCTATTATTATTTTTACAGTCAACCTAACTAAGCTTAATTTTTTTCCGATTCTAGTCATAGAGATGCGAACATTTAAGCACATTATTCACCATTTTGCAGCCCCTCTTAACTTTTCTGGAATTTCTATTGTCGTAATCTTCAATCTTCTGGATTGACCTTGCTTTGCCAGAAAAAAAAACTCTGTCTCACGCGACTAATAATCTTAAATAAATTTTTTGTGCCTGATTGCAATGTTCGTTCTTTTGAAGCATTTTTTGTCCTTTTAAACCTTTAACCAAGAATTTAGCCTGTATGCATAATATTCTTTCTAATTCAAGACCTTACGCTAATATGGGGTTGGTCTTTTTCTCTTGTTTATACTGTTCCAAGTTATGGTTATTTATTTTTATTGGACGATATAAGGTCCCTTAGAGGGCGCTTCTTTCAACTGCGCCGGAGACTCGTCTTAGTGTCTTTTTTACGGGTAGCAAGCGATGTCTGAACCGTCTACGAATGGAAATGAGTCGGATCATTACTTCTCTGATGAGGCGAACATCATTTGCCTAAGCGACTCCTACAAGGTAAGTTACCATGCAATGTGACTATTTTGGAGGTTTCCCATTATATCCAGTATCCTCCAGGGACGACGGAGGTTTATTCCTACTTCGAAAGCCGTGGTGGAAAATTTTCCGAAACCATATTTTTTGGACTGCAGTACATTTTAAAAAAATATCTCGTTGGTTCTGTAATCACCGAGAGAAAAATACGTGAAGCTAAGGAACTGATGCGTGAACATTTTGGGAGGGATTTAATGAACGAGGATGGTTGGCGTTACATACTTGAGGTATGTTTTTCTCCATCAATTGACTCATTTTCTTTTTAGAAACATGATGGGTGTCTGCCCATCCGTATTAAGGCTATTCCTGAGGGCACTGTTATTCCTGTGCGAAATGTATTGTTCACCGTGGAAAATACAGATCCTAACTGTTACTGGCTCACAAATTACCTCGAGGTAACTTACACCTTTTACTGACCTGATTTTTAAGACAGTACTCGTTCAAGTTTGGTATCCGCTCACAGTTGCAACGAATTCCCTGGAGTTCAAGAAGATTATTTTCAGGTATCTGGAAGCGACATCAGATGACTTATCTCCACTTCCAATGTTGATGCACGATTTTGGTTTTCGTGGTGTGTCTTCAATCGAGGTGCGCATTTTTCGCACTGAGCTTTTCATTCGCTTATTTTAGTCTTTTATATTGTACTTATCCCTTTCGATTCACAAATGTGCTCTTTCAAAAGTGACTATTTTATAACCTCATTTTTAGTCTGCATCAATCGGCGGAACAGCACATTTGGTTTGTTTTCGTGGTACGGATACAATGGCGGCCCTTTTATTTGCTAAACGGTACTACAACTGTAAAATGGCCGGATTCAGTATTCCTGCGACAGAACACAGGTTTTCACTCTCTTACTTTTTGTATCATGTAGTTTGTTAGGTTTTCATTGTATCTAGTGAAAACGGATCCATTTTAAGCCATACTTAAACTGCAATTTTAGCCACTGGCCTTATTTATCCCATTTCACTTTTCTAGCCACTACGGCAAGCTGTAGCTTTTCACATCTCCCAAATTAGCAATCCTTTTGGTCATGTATGAAGTGGACCTTGAGTTAACTAGCTCAAGGTAGTTCGTGCACATGTCATATCTTCTAGTTTTTGTAGAAATATGGTAGTTGGACTCAGTCACTGATTATTAGGTTTTTTTGGTGTCCCTATGAGTCAAGTTCGATGGTGCCTTTATCCGTTAGTAATGAGGGCTGGCTAACCTGCTAGGATGTAGAGTTCCGTTGGCTGACTGAAAGATCAGCCTATTATTGATGCACAAAAGCTTATTTCATTCACATCCTCACCTGCAGCACAATAACGGTGTGGCGCGAGGCGGGTGAGAAGGACGCGTACAGGAATCTGTTGGAAAAGTTTCCGACAGGGTCCGTTGCCTGTGTCTCGGACAGTTACAACATTTGGAATGCGTGTGAGAAGATCTGGGGCGAGGATCTTCACGATTTAGTAGGTCACGTCTCATATGAGTCGCCTCTACCCCCCTCCCTGCGTTCGCTTTGAATCACAAAGAGTGTTTCATCACTACCGCTACACTGTGTATCTTTTATATTGTTTGCATATGTGTCTAGGTGAGCCGCCTTGATGCCATAAATATCGGAAACATCTACTGACTTCACTTTCCATTCCAGTTCATACGTTCGAAGCGCAGAATAGCCTGTAATTATCGATATTAAAACTCGTATAAACGCTTCTTTACACATCCTCGCATTCTAATCAGACCTCCAGACCGATTCTTATTGGGTGTGCTAGAGCGGATCAGCGAGCAAAAGAAATTGTTGGGTTGCCCTGTCGCGAGTCTTTTTTCGTGCTTTCATGTACTAGGTGGTTAGTCGGGAGGGCACTCTGGTCATCCGGCCGGATTCGGGTAATCCCGAAAAGGTGGTGGTGGAGGTGCTGGAAATTCTTGGCCAAAAGTTTGGCTACAGTCTTAACAGCCTTGGCTTCAAGGTGCTCCCCCCGTATCTACGTCTCATTCAGGGTGACGGCGTCAATCTCGAAAGCCTTGGTATGTATGCTCGCACTCATTCCACATATTCGTATCCCTTTAGACACATTTTTATGCCTGTATCCTTTAACGCACTTGACGTTGCTTGTTGCTGAACTATTGTTATTAGACGCATTTATCACTGCTTACTTTCTGCAGGCATGTAACACATTATTTCGAAAGGCTGCACTTGGTTAAGCGCAACTCCATGCAATCGATATGCCGAGAGACTACAAAGGAGGTGATTTGAAGGATACATTCATGATCCATAGACAACTGATAGGCTTTTTTGCATGAATTATATTCTCTAACTTTACTCAAACTGTTTTTTAGTGACTAATAACGTCTCCATTCAATAAAGCTCTAGACTTAGCTTCCAGGGCGAAATGTGCACCTCTTCAGATTGTTTCTAGGTGATAGTTTTTGAGCTGTTAAAAAATCGGATTTTCCCAAGTATTGCATAAGTGTGATTGCAGTTTTGGTGGTAGATTTTAGCCGATTACACTGCCTGCTTCACTGTGAGTGAAACAGTTTGGCTGAACGTCCAAACTTTTCTGTCTCTGTGTGTCGGTGCAAGTACTTGTATGGGCGCCTTGTAGAAAAGATTCTGGAGAACGTGATGGCTGCGGGTTGGAGCACCGTCAATGTTTCCTTCGGTAGCGGCGGTGCTCTGTTGCAGCGCCTCAACCGAGACACTCAAAAATGCGCCTTCAAGTGCAGCCACGCTGTCATCAACGGGAAACAGGTGAGTGGAAGTGGGAGTGATAGGGGTGTTGGGAATGGCTGGATCTGGCATATACACGCGCGCACAAATATACACACCCACGTTAAAACACAATCACAAACTCGAACGCCTTCACCCACCTGTTGGCATTAAGAATTCACTCACGAGACTTGGGTTCTTAAAGTCGAAAATAAGGTCACAGTTTCTTATCATAGCACATTCCACGGTGCTTTATTTACCACTTCTGTTAGGCAACACCGCTGATGATCAGAATGACTCTTAACTTCCCTACCAACGAATGTCTTATTACTCCTGCGACAGTGGTTCATTTTCTGTCTTTAAGTTGCTTCACTCTTTGAGGCTAGGCTTCACTCCGAGTGGATTTACATCCATCCCGAGGTCATGCTTTTCTCGTATCATTTCAAGCACGTGGTGTTTAGTTTGAGTGATATTGGCTTGACCTTATCGGGTCGATGCAAGTCACTGTAATCCCGGATCTATTTCTGCCATTTATGTGGTGCTGTGACGCTGTCCTCATCTAATTTGTTTGGGGATTAGTAGGCAAATTGATGTGTTGTCAGTCCAAGACTCGACCACTTAGTGTTTCATAATAATGTGTCTCTGTGTCTTACAATTAGCTGCAGTTGCTAGCCAAATCTATCTTTGCCTTATGTAGGTTGATGTTTGCAAGCATCCAATCACCGATCCACAGAAACATTCCAAGAAGGGTCGTCTTTGCCTCCAACGTTCAGCGTCTCAAAATGGATTTGTCACTTTGGAGGAAGGCCAAGGCGATTTGGAGAAAGTGAGCTTTGCTTCCGAGGTCTATTCAATCTCACATTGAAGTAATTGACAATTGTGTCCATTTAAGCCCTTTCCGCCTGCTGAAATGTATCGTACTGATGTACATTAAAATTGATTGAATCATCATTGTTGTGTGGCCAAATTGCCAATCAGCACACATGCAAATTAATGGTCGGATTTTTTGCGGATAGTTAAACCGAAATGATCCTTAAGTAGATGTGGTTAATACTTCCCAATTTTCCAATAAATCGGACCGGCTGGGCTTCTACTTTGCAGGACCTCCTTGTGACAGTGTTTGAAAACGGACGCCTTCTGGTGGACTACACCCTCGAAGAGATTCGCGAGAGGGCGGAACTACCGGCGGTGAAGGCGGTGCTGTCAAAGTCTTACAATCATGTGAACGCAGTGGTAAATGCTAGCAGTAGTCCCTAGGTTTCTTTTAATCCACCTGTCTACCCCAACCTACTCACTGCTTACGGATGTCGCTCAGGCTCTCCTCCTTTTTGATCCGCGCCTGTGTGCGTTTAAGCTGCTGGGATGTCTACCTCCGCATCTTTTTGTTAATTCTATTTATTACAAACAAAACAACCAGGATTCCCTTAACTCCTCTTTCCTGTGTACAGGCAATCTCCCTTCACTTTCTTGACCATTCAATCGCCCAGTATTTTTGAAAATACCCTATTTTTCATTGTGTAATTGCACTTGCTATGCACAATAAAAGTAGATATCTCAAGACTGACTCAAGGTTATCAGTGGTTATCAATGTCACTTTTGGGTGATAAAACTGGGCTGTCGATGTTTCTTTCGCTAGACCTTGACAGCGGACGTGCTGGTGTTGGGCCTCTGTTTCTGGATGCTGGTGTCCAATTTTTATCGTTGCGAACCCCTGGGAGTAGATGCCACAGATACGCCCACGGTCAGACTCTTCAGGACATGGATGCAGTATGATAGTCGACTTCAAACAAATGTCAACGGACGTATTCGAGACGGATGAAGTTATGAAGCATCTGAAACCTAGATACCACGTCGAGTTTGTTTCACTACGAGAAGCTTTCTAAACACCGCAGTAATTGTTGATCGCACAGTCACTTCATCTAATACCAAACTGTTTCAGAGATTCACTTGGAATATGTTTTAGAAGGCTGGACAGCAATCTGCAATGTGTACGCCGTGATGCTGATATCAACCGTCACCTGCTGCTTCCTCGAGCCATCTAACTTGCCCAATCTGGGTCTTGTTCTGTTATGCACCACGCAACAGATTAAGAGTTTTGCGTATTTATTTCACCATTGCGGAACCTCTCAATTTCCGTAGTTCTTCCATGCTGGACTCACCACAGTAACTAGCTAATCCATTCTCGTTGAGACTTAAGATGGGTAAAATGCAGAAGAATTAGTGTTCCATACGATTAGCCTAAAAATCGACGATGCACATCATATTCATCACACTACGTTGCGGTCCATCTATGCCGTGGGGACTAACAGTACAAAGCAAATGCGTTTTCAAGAAATCCAAAGTCCCCCTGAGGATTAGTTGTAATCCTTTAAGCGTTTGCTTAACGCTTAGTTTTGGTAACGGGCCACTTGGGCCCCTCCACTGCCGGGTGGATTCAAAATAGACGGATTCCATGTTAATCTAAACCATTCCAGCATTCTGGGCAATTGATCTGACTACCATTGTTAAAAATGCGAGAGGTTCAAAGGCCCTGAATGAAGAGAACACACTCAATCACGTTCATTAAGTTCTCTCGCTCTCCTGCCAAATGACGACAATTAGGACGGTTTGCATGTAAATATGCTTGATGCCTAAGGTGTGGAGCTACAGTAGTGGGGCAAAATTCATTTTTTATGTCTCTCAAGAGTTAGGAGAATTAGTGAATAGTGCTTTGGTTTTTACTACATTATGTGGCATCTTCTTTGTTCTCAACAAATAACTATTTTCTTGTTTTCACTTGCCACATTAAACAGTTTTAGCTAGAGTATTTCATGGTTTCCTGTTGTTTTAAGCGATTTAAAGTCCTTATAGCTCTCTTAGCAATTTGTGTTGTTAAAATGAACTCTTTCAAGTTAATAGGTGAATTCCAGAGAAAAAAGTGGAATGCAAGTTGTGGTCTCAATGACGCGTCTTCAAAATGCAGTCAATATTCGAATGTTTACAATCCATACTTTTGTTTCTGTTACAAATTACAGCTTTGACGCTTCAGCAGACCACACACTTGTTGAATTACGTCATTTTTGCGATGAAGATGTTGTAGCGCCGACGCCAAGCCAATCAGGCAATTAAGTGGGCGGGGGAGTGCACTGCTAGGCCGTTTTCGCTTTGTTCTAGGTGGGCCACTTTCGTTGATATGCAGTAATGCAAATGTTATCGGTTGAGTTCTACTGATACCACGAAAATAGCTCATGGATTTCATCAAATTACGTCATGAAGACCCCTAGAGTTACTCTTTCGAGTGGGTGAGTAATACATCGACCTCGGAAAATATCTGCGACTTAAAATGCGTGAGGTTGTTTACGCCCAGCACGGAGCATTGGTGGCGGTCAGCCTCTCTGTCTGGTACTCTCTATTAGTCTCCGTGTCGCTTTCCTCATTTTTAACACGTACTGGAGTAGATGTTGATTGAACCCGATGTATTTGGTTTGTCTGCCTCACAAAGCAAGTTTAGTTTGCTTCCTAGGCTTTAAAAAGTCCATTTCTCGCCGACTTTTTCGCGTTTTCATATGAGGAGGGCGCGGTATGTGGTAGCAGGTTGGTGTAAGGATTGGAAATTGTTTTAACAACTTGCACTTAATGATGGCTAGGTCAAAGCCTGATTTCTAGGGTTAGACAAGCTATCTACTCTTTATGATGGAGGATTAGGTGGCACTATGGCTAGGTACAATCTTCAGTTTGATACAATGTGATTGATGGTGAAACACTCGGTTGACACCCACAGCAGATGGAGAGGGGACGTTGTGGTGGTACGAGCCGGTAAGCCCATGAGTCATGGTAACTTGTTGTGCCTTGAGAGATGACAGGTAATAAGTTTGAGAGACTATTAGCATCTTAATTTTTCATCTCTTTCATGTACATCGTAAAAACAACTGCCATTTAAGGTTGCTTGTTGACTTACTGACGAACTGAGTTGGCGTGGGGAACGCATTTTGTGCGGCCGATTTCGCCAAACCAGCGAACTTGCTGTTGGTTAACCTTATCCGAACAAAACCCTGCCTACCTTTACATTTTGGACAGACGTCGCTTTATCTTTGCAGGTCTGAGCATGCTTTGCTCAATATGTGTCCCTCTTTGTGTGATGGTCTACGGACATTATTGGTCACTATGACTTTCTGGAAGTTCAATGTCCGGCACGGCTGATATCAACTAAATAAAATTTGACAGGCACAATCGTGCCTAGTCAAACAGACTACTCAAGACCTAATACTCGACACTGCCGTAAAACTGACTCGCCTAAGAGACGATGGATGGACAAAACATCGGATGTCAGTTCCTCTTTTTATGGATCGTACTTCTCGGAACAGTGAGAACCTCACTCCGTTTGCTCAGGCATTAGACGATCACGTGAATGCAGACGAAATGGACTAGACAGACAATATAACTACTGAGGCAAAGACGGGAGTATTTTCAGCTAGGCCAGGTAGTTTTCTTTTAGTGGCAAACCGTTTTACGAATATGGAATTAGCAGCAAGCTTGCGTCCTGTTGGGATGGACGTATGGATCATACTGTACTGAAGTGTTGTTTGGATAGAAATAACTTGTTTGTTTTCTCATTGGAGAAAAAGTGTGCAACTGATTATTATAAAAAGGTTTACTAGTAGAATGAGTAGGTCGAAAAAAAAATACTGTATTTTTTTAAGCCGAAGCTTTACATCTTTGTTGTTATTCACATCTGTGATAAATTCCCTATCGTATTCGGAAAAAACTGACAGGTTTTTTGTTCACTTGCCAAAGAATATTATTCCCCTTTTTCTCGAGTCACTGTCAACACCTGACAAGCCCAATCAGCGGGAAAGTCAGCGGCGTCAAATTAACGCACCTAAAGAATCTGGACTGAACTTCTAATCGAACAATGCTTCTAGGATTCTGCGTCGGAATGGTACCAGCACGGATTTCACCAAGAAGCCCAGATTATTTAGCAATTGTGTATCCAAAGTAAGGATGAACAATAGGTGACATATAAAGCACAAGCAGCCAGACAAGTTGTTACCACATTAAAAATTGGTTGTCTCAGCTTACAGATTAATGAGCTGACTAATCAGTGAGGGCAGTGTCAAAACGCCATGAATAGCAGTAAGGGGTTAGGAATCACAGTTACTTCTGATGACCCGATAAGGTCAAGCCAATATCACTCAAACTAAACACCACGTGCTTGAAATGATACGAGAAAAGCATGACCTCGGGATGGATGTAAATCCACTTGGAGTGAAGCCTAGCCTCAACGAGTGGAGCAACTTAAAGACAGAAAATGAACCACTGTCGCAGGAGTAATAAGACATTCGTTGGTAGGGAAGTTAAGAGTCATTCTGATCACCAGTGGTGTTGCCTAACAGAAGCGGTAAATAGAGCACCGTGGAATGTGTTATGATAAGAAAATGTGACCTTACTTTCGACTTGGGTGTGTCCCTGTGTGCACGTGAGCTCGTGCAAGTGCCTGGTCGCAGCCACGTACGCAAACTAGCTTAAATAAATGAAATCGCCTCCTCCACAGTGACGATACTCCATTCCGCAGGATCTTCCCTACAGAGTTCCCGTACATGTATGCACATCTACACTCAGAGACGTAAGAGTTGAAGTTTCTGTTCCGACTTTCTTACTGCCAACAAAGCATGTAGAGCAGTGCAATCAGGTCTATTTCTCATTGGCTTGAAATGAACACATTTTGATGACTTGATTCCCTAATTAACCTCCCAAATTTCTCCCAGTGAATACTATGAAGTAATTGAAAGTTCAGTTATTCCTCTTTTTGCATTCTACGGTGCACTATCCAGGTTCTTAAGGGCTCAAAATCATCAGCTAGCAATAATAGCTGGGAGACCAGAAACCTTTTCTTACAGTTTTATCAAATGATCCCTTCCCACATTGCATTCGCTTAAAGTTCGGTCAACTGGACGTAAAGCAATTTACCTTCAAAACAACGTATTCCTCCAGTCCATTCATAATAGGTAGCGTTTTGTTGGTAGCCATTTCGCGACTGCAAATGGGCTGATCAAGACCAAAACATGAATAGCAAAGCTCCATATTCCATTCCTCCATCACTTTCTTAGTTGTGATAAGAATTTTATCCATTTTTGACACTAAATTGCTCATTTGTAAAAGTCAGCATTCAGACGGGAACAGATGTTTCTTGCGATATAATAAGCACAGCATGAAGGGCGGAAGCAGGTGGATGTAGGGAGGAAGCAAGACAAGTCCTGCGAGAATAAGTGAGTTAATATAGAAATGATTTTTGAAAAAAAATGGGAACTAGGAAAACCGAACATTGGTAATAAAAAGTTCAGTACTTTTTTTCCTTGAAATCATCATCAAAATCTACAGTGACTTTCCTGTTTCCTTGGTTGCGCAGTCCCTCAAGTAGCGCTAATAGATGCGGCCTTCACCCTGGTTAATGGCCTTCCAGGCCTTCTGTATACTAGTAATATTTTTCACAGTACTTTGGATGATTTTGACTTCAGAACGGACTCGGGGCGGTGCAGAATTATCAAGATATCGTGTATCTACATTAGCGAGGACAGGCCGTGCCTCATGCGGGTTAAATTACTTATTTATCTAAAGGTAAAGTGATGTAGTCTACTCAGATGTGGGTAAAGCGCTTGCAAACCTTGCTAATGTGAAGCTATAATTCCTGGGTAAATTTTACAGTACTTTTTTAACAGATACACGCATTTTGGTAGTTAAGCAAAGCGTTGTAATAAATTTTCTACTTTAACATGCTCAGTAAAAAGCTTAAAAATTCGCATGAAATGACCGTACTACTTACCTTAATTTGAACTGTTGAAAAGCTTTTTTCCCAGAATAAACTTTAACTGGAAGATTAAATACTTGAGCTACCACAATCTTGCTATCATGAGCATACATTGATTGCGACATAGCGGTTCTTTGTACTTCAGCAGTTAACCTTAAAGTGGCTACCGCTCCTTCGTCACTAGTGCTTCATCAACCAAGCTCGATAGGAGGATTCGCCCTTCTCACTCTACCACACCGCATAAATGTACGACCCCTCTTCTGAAACGCCATGCCTGTCTGAAATGGATCATTTCAACTATGTTGGGCCTTCGCAACAGCTTCAACATTCCCCTTCACATAAAGTTCAGGGGGCATCTTATTAAAATACGTGGGTCTAGTCGTTGAGACAACTTCTTCCCATGTTGATATATCCGCTCAAAGACCAGATATTTTATTGGCAGGTCTCCGTCTGATTAGTACGACTGTATAACCTCCTGAGCCTATTTAAGCAGATGCTCAAGCGTTTTTGCTTCCTGACGATGATCACCGCTCCATTTTTTTCGTTTTTCTCCAATTGATTGCCTGGTTTTTTAGAGAATTGCTTACTTTTATAACATATCCATCCAGCATAAAAAGAGCTATGAATCCGATACCTATTCTCAGGGGGCACACATGAATGTGTCTTTCCAGGACTCCAACACAGGTTCTGCTTTTATCTCCTAAGTTGCACTAAATTTTTACAATTCTCATTTTGCCACTATTTCAAACATTAGCATTTGATTGTAAATCTTCCAGCATCCTAGGTACCATAAATTCACTTGCTTAACCCCATATATCATTGTTTCCCTTGGAGCAATTCGACCAAAAAAGAGGCGAACTGGCGAAGGCGGCTCCGTTTTCCGAACTACGCGCCTCGTTCGACCTTCACACGCACACACACACCGACCAGCAAATCACCAACGCCGACTGCGACGATGTGCGCGTGGGTGCACGTGAAAATATTAGTAGGCTGCTTCATGATTGGCTAGACATTAACCAATAGGGAAGTTGCAAACTGACAAGCAATCGATGGCTAACATGCTACGCGAGGCAGTTTTATTCGCCTCCCACTGTCGACTGCGAATATGTCTGACACTGTTCCACTTTTACCGAGCGGTTTTGATGCCACTGCCTCACCAATTTTATCAGATAATAACATTCGAGTTCGTACTACTGGACCTTTGAATTTACAAGGCGCCTCTAATGACACGGTTTTACAAAGACATCGTCGTGAGGGTTCAACAGGTCCGGAGCCTGGCCGTTGTTGTAAGAAGACACCACCCAATCAGAGGAAAGCCAAATATCCCATTGCCCTTGTAGCCTCCACATGGGGTCTACTCACCAATATCGAGAGGGCTATCATTATCCCAACTATGTGGCTATTCTTTATTAAATACTGGGGCCCTGACACAGCAGCTGAGTTTTACGGAAGCACTCTTGGAGTATTTAGTTTCTCAATTTTGATTGCCACTCCTCTATTTGGTTATGCTGGCCACTATGGAATTAGTGTGAAGTTCCTGCTTCTTGTGGCGAACCTTTTGGAGGTACTTGGAAATCTTGCTTACCTTTGTGCCCATGGGCCTTGGGCGGTTTTCGCTGGACGCTTGTTAGCTGGGATTGGAGCTAGTTGTGAACCTCCAATGTATGCAGATCTCACACGTTCGACTGAAATTAATGAACGAACTCCCTTCATCATTGTTCTCTTACTCTCACGTCAAGTTGGACTAATCTTTGGACCCGCATTTACTCTCATCTTAGAACGGTTGAATTTGAAAATTTTTGACATGGAGGTTAATGTGTACAATGGTCCGGGTCTTGTTATGGCTTGTTTGTGGATTCTCCATTCCATTCTCATTTTGATTTTCTATCCCAACCTCGACAAATCAGGTGCCTTTGCAGATGATGCTCCGAAGATCACGCAGATCACATCCACTAAGCCAAATGAGAGTACACCAACCAACAAGGTTGAGGTTCGTTTCGCTGGATTCAGGCAATATTGTTTTCTTACGCTCTACGCTACCACATTTGTTTCTTACTACTCCGTAATGGCATTAGAATCGGTTCTTTCCCCCGTGGCCAATCGTGCTTTTGGTTGGGGTCCGGTTGAGGTGAGCTACATATACATCGCTGCGAGTATCCTCGTCATATTGGTTTCCGGTATCATGCATTTCTTGTCCAAATGCATTGAGGATCGCAAACTCATTTGTATTGGTCTTTGTTTTCTCGTCACCTCCTACCTTTATCTAACAGTGATTATCTTCACCCTTGATTCCCTCGGTGAGTGGGGCAAATTTCTCGTTGTAACTGGTGTTGGAGTCCATGTGATTGGAATGCCCTTTCCATTGGCCATCTCTGAGTCTCTCTACACCAAGTTTGTTCCCTCACCACAACTGGATCATGCTCAAACCATCCTTCGCACTGTCATTAATGCGGCCTTCCTAGTTGGACCTTTTGTAGGTGGTAGCCTGCAGGCTCACCCGTCTGTGGTCTTCTTGTCCATGCTTCTCCTCAACCTCATTCCTTTGACTATGCTTCTGTCCAGATTCTCTGAATTCCGAGTAACTTCGGAAACACCATTGGAAAGGCCTTCTACCACCAATCGGCCCTCTGATTCCCATCTCAGCGTATGACCACTTCATGTGTACATAGTTACCTCAGCCTGTCTTCTTCCATCTTGCTCTCTATGTCTTGCCTGTAAATCCATAACTTGCTTAACATTAACTGAATGTCTATTGTCAAAATTTTGTACTCATTTTATCTCTGAGCGTTGCAGCACTAAGGAGAAATGCCATTACTCTTTTATGATTTTATGCCTTTTTAAATCCCCAGTTGGATTAATGCGTACGCATGCGTTGTTGATGCGTAGGTCGTTGGCATGGCCCTGCTCCGTGAATCAGTAGTGTACGCTGGTGAGGGCACCAGTGGATGTGATGATGCTTGTTTTATGATTATAAGTGGGAGCATGGATAGTGGGTCCAGGGACAATCGGGTCTACTCTGATTTGCATTTCTTAGGTAGGGATTTGCATGCCCAATACGATCTCACGAACACAGACGTAGTTGATGCCGTTGCTCCAGTGGTATGTCGCGTCTGAGTGGGATTTATCCTTCGCAGTGATTCGAAACCGAGGAATGTCAGTTGGAAGTTTAGCTTTCGCCCTAAATAGACTGACACTACCGTGAGTTGATCTGACGACAGCAACACCCTTGCATTGAGTCGCTGCCAACCTCCGCGTCACCTTCTCTATGGTTCACTCCACTGAGGTGCTTCAATGTGACTCAGAAGCAAACAGTCAAACTGCGCATTTACGTTACGGTTATGTAGCAAAATAATCTAACGTCACTTGAGATGACGGTCTGAGCCATTCCAACCCCTTTTTTACAATCGGCCTCAGTGAATTCCTTGGCAGTGCTTGAGACACCAGATACTTAGGGGTACGGACAGTAGCTTACACAGAGGTCCAAAAAAGCTAAATTCTAGAGGCAAAAGCAACATAGCTATGCAGCAGAGATTTACTAGCTACGGGCTAGCCGCCTGGCTTTGGAGAAACGTGTCCGGTCATCCCTTGAGGAATAGCTGACTGGCGCAGTCCTGTCTGACCTTAAAGTCACTATTACTACGTCAATGGGTGGAGGGAGGAGAAGTTTTGGCATCATATATACGTGGAAAGACAATTTGATTATTTATTGAATTTTTTTCATTTTTTTTTTATAAATATGCGGGTTTCAGGTGGCTATCAATTTATAAGTAGTATATTCGATTCTGTGAGTGCCCCATAAATCAGCTTTGCTTCAGTGTTATTTATCCTCCCCAATTTTGTTGTCTAAGTGCGGTGGATCATATCTTCTGATTGAGCAGAATTAAGGTGAGACTATTCTCTGGGTCCAACGCATTATACATCAACGCCTTTGCAGTCAAATCAGTGAACATCCAAGCTTGTTTCTTAGACATGCAATAATGTGAGTTTACTTGGCTACGAATCTGTAATGTACCAAGGCGTCCGTAGACATGATATGTGGTATACCAGCGTGAGAGAAGCTTTAGAGGTGACGTGAGAAGGCCTGGGAGGCCATGGGCATAAACATGATAGCAATCGGTGAGGTGAAGATTGGCGATGGCGTGCTCCCTGTGCGCTTTGTGCTATTACTTTTGGTTCAGCCGCAATGCCTCTTCCTGAGATCTAAAGCCATGAGGGTTGGTTATTTTACTAACCCAGGTTTAGTCGAAACGCCTTGAATGTCGCGACCTAAACAAAGCAAAAAAAGCAGATGACAATTGACTTGGCAAATACTGCTAAAAGATAGGCAATGTTTAACAGCAAACCTATTCTGGATGTCAACTGATTTTCGTATGAAAGTCTACCCTTAGATAGCAGTGGAAAAGAAGAGCAACATGTCTCCAGATCGTCACGAAAATCGATGCGTCCAGCGTAAAATCATAGGTCTTCCTTCGAGATCTCACCTTCGTCAACACTGACTAAAGTACTGAACCCAAGATTGACTTGACCGCCAAGAATCACCGTTGCACCTACAAAGTCCCTTCATCCAAGTGGACCCCTTGCTCTCAAAGTCCTCCTTGTAGGTATAATAAGCTATACCATTATGGAGGAAGCTTTACTATAGACAGGGAAAAATGAATGTGAGGCCTTGGATCTGGTCCGTTTGCCAAGAGGAGTTTGAAGGGTGTAGGAAATCAGTAAGAGCTCTAAAATAAGTGCTGCTACGTTAAAATCATGGAAATGCATAAGTTAAATGTCCCAGATAAGTATGCACAATTTTTTTGCTGTTTTAACCTAAAATCTCGTGTTTTGGGATGGCAGTCGGTTTTGATCCTATAACCAGTCAATAAAAGGCCAGAATTTGTTGTTACGATAACCTGAAGCCCTAAGCTGCATTGCTTGACCCAATGCCCCACTCCCTTTCTATGATGAAAGGGACGTAAGTACCCAATAAATTAAAAAATATCATCAATAATAACCAATAACTTAGTATCATATGGTCTGATAGGGCCTCCTCATGGCAATGTCTAGTGATTTTTTTAACATATGTCGACTAGATCGTCAAGTACGGAATTGGGTGAGGTGTTACCTGTTCATCTTGTTTTTCGGAATGTTTGTGTTATGGCTATAAACAACGAAGTTCTGTAAACAAAATGGTTAAACGAGTTTGCCTCATTGGTGGAATTACTGATTACACGCAAATATTTGGCACTTATCATTTCGTGATGCCTCTCTGGAATGTAGACACTTTATCTTGTAAATTAGCGGAATTTTCCTCCTAAAGGAAAATCAAACAGGCATAGGAATAACTTTTGTTGGAATTGTCACCAATACTACTCATAACCCATGGTCCTTTCCTAATAGGCCAACAAGCTCATTGCCAATTCCACGTGGGTAAATTTGGCTTGCCTCTGGAAGCGAACAACCAAATCTAGCTGCACCCACATCTGTTTGTCGCCTAACTGTCCATGCTACTTTACATTACAAGAATAGATGATATGCACATGTTGAAGAGATTACATTGGCGGTGGGACAGAAGGCGGTCGATGATGGGGTAATGTTGCCCCCAACTTTAAGCTTTCACTAATTTAGCTACATTTCATAGAGTAAGGGAGCGTATTTTTGAATTTATAAGCATAGTATTACACATTGGTTAAGAGGGATATTAAATTCACTCGGTAACGCGTCTTTAATAGCAGAGGGATTGGAAGCACTTCCACTTTTAATTTTCTCACACGACAGTACCAATGCCTAAACACAACCGTTTCTACATATTTGCCTAATAAAATCAACGCTTTTTGTGGTGGAAGCAAAAAGATAGGAACTCATGATTCCTCAAAAATATAAAAAGGAGAATAAAAGTGGTTATTAGTCAATAAAAGGGACGCCATGTCACAAAGTTGTCAAGCCCAGAGTTCTGCCATAGTAACATAAACAATTTGAGGAAAAATGTCATTTCAATACACGACTTCTTTCGTGCTCTGTAAGTAATTCCCCTTCCTCCCTATAATCAAAGTGCCTAGGCTGTCTTAAGTTGTCCATTCGCAAGACAGTAGATAGAAAGGAGTTGACATTGTGGTGGCGAGCTACCCTCTATTCCAGTAGCGTTAATTTGTGCAGTAGAAGCAGTCAAGAGCCTTGAGTAGCGCAGCTTCTGGAAATTAGACTGTCTCAAAGTAAAGTGGTTCGAGATATAGAAGGATAGACACAAATCGCAACATTACAGTGAGCGCTTGGAGCAATGCCACATGACATTTTTTTCGAGGAGGTTTTAATTCGTCCCTGTTTGACATAGCTTCGTCATGAGGAGATATAGAGATAGTTGCCGAAAATCAGCCCCCTTTAAATACCCCTTCAGATAGGGGTTTTAACGGATCCAACCACACCTAGCTGTGGATACTATATTAAACTTTTGACAAACAAAGTCGTAAGGGCAGCCTATTACTAGAGATTGACAAAAAGGCTAACACAGAGTTCTGCAGAAACTACTAGTAATTACTATCCTGAGTGCATAAAACTTGTTTCCAAGCTCATGGAAGATGAAGGCTCGATCGGAGGGTAATAACGAAGGCGCCCTTTAAAACCACCGCCAGCAGTTTCGGTTGCACGCACAGCATAGGGAGATAAAAGACGGGAGCGATGTGAGTCGCAGTGAGGTCTTTTGAATGCAATCATGCGATGTTGATACCTTTCCACTGGCATCTGATTAAATCAGTTGAAAATCAGCACGCGTGTTGTTGACTTGCCTCACGTGCCCAAATGAATCATTTGACTTGCATAAATCTTGTAATCTTTTGGGTGAAAAATGACACCTTTGGCGGTGGATTATTAACTTGGCGACAAACAGTTGTCTAAAGAGAAAAAACGCTGGTGAAATGACGATTGGTGGATCTCAAGGCCGGCATCGTCTACGTGGCAGAATTGCACCAGCAGTAGGTGAGAGAAAAAGTTTGTAGCACTTTGGAAGTGGTTCAAATAAATGGTTTTGGGTAAATTTAGGGCACTAGTAAAATGCGTTAGTCCCTTGGTACGGTGCCCTCAGTTGTGCTGTCAGGTGTTTCCTTCTCATCAAATGCAGGTTAAACTTCGAAGATGTGGTACCTACCTCAACTACTCTATGTAGGAAGTTTAACTCACTTTTAAGGACTCATAAGTTAGCTTCTTGTTAAATTAGTTGCCGTGTTACACTTGGAGAAGCTACAGTAGGCAGTAGTAGAGCAATTTACAACACACAGATTATGCGTCGAGTTCAAGATAGAGGATCCTCTATTAAAGAATAACTTGATAGGAAAGACTCATCCATGATCAACCGATTCGTGAGAAATTTATCCTTGACGATGGGATAGGGAGAGGGAAAGAGACAATGCCCTATCTTCGAGGGTTCTTTGGTTGCCGAAGGTCACACTTCTAATGTTATGGTCCTCCACGCTTACTGGCATGACTTTTTTGCTTTTCGAAGTGCCGCGCAAAACAACAAAAACACAAATCTTTAAAGAATGGAAATAAGGGTAAACTTTTCCAATCTTTAAGCTTTATTCAGCATTTCTTAAACTAGTCTTAAAATACAGATTTTTTAACACTTTTTACTGACATTATTTAAGTATAATTTCTATTATTACAACACGGAGAGGTAAAAACCCAAATTCAGGTCTCAGAGTTTGAGGATCAAATAGTTAAAAATTTATGAACAGTCGATGAGATGAGGGTCCAACATCCTTTTTTAAGTTTTTGCAGCACTCCCAGAAGTTGGATCATATTCATTAACTGGGGTCTAAGGGTCCATCATTACTACCAAAAAATTGTAAGCATTAACACAAAGACCCTTTGCAAACAGCAATGTCGTTGTGCCAGGTTGTCACGACACAGTGTACACAAAGTTTAACTAAAATACAGCACATTTTGTGGTACAAGTAGGCCAACATTTCCTGAGCCAACCAACTTTTCATTGAATAATCCAATGGATGCGCAACCCTACCATTGGCTAATATCGAAATAGAGCACAATTACAAAATATTGCAAACACCATGATTTGTTGGCCTCTTTAATGAGTTCCACCTAGTATCTGCTTTTTCAACTTGACTACGTTATGACAGGCCTATTTCTAGTGTTAATAATGAATAGATCTCAACAATTTTTGGCACGACCTTGAAATTTAGAAATCATCTACTAGCTTGGCCTCTTTTAATAGACGACAGAAGTAGTTATTATGAGAGCGTAAGAGGAAATTAGGATAAATGTGCCTTTTCCACATTGAACGAGACCCTATTTTAAGGTTATCCATTCCCGGATCCAATCAAAGGCGAGTATGGTAACAAAAGGTTTTCGAATAAGGGTTAATCTTTTTGCAGTAGAGCTGCCTTGAAGTTGAAAAAAAAAAACATCAGAACTCCTTTATAGAGAACAGGCCAGTAGCCATAGGTAGTCGTCATGACAACAGGGGAATTAAGGCGACGCCCTTCAGGTGATTGGCTGGCTACAGATGCCATTGCGATGAACAAAATATGTTTAACCAATCTGCTTTGGCCGAGCTTCCAGTAGACCGATCTGGAGCAGTCAGGCACCAAAAGGAGGAATATTACTTTCCCTCCCTAATTGAGCATCCTTAAGAGATACCTCTAATTTCCCTCTCTAAACGCAAGTCTCGTTTCTTTTAAAAATCTCTTATTGCCCATTTGAACTAGGTGCTTTGTCCTCCTCATGTGTTAAAAAATGTTTACGTTTCAATAATTCCTCGTCCTCTTCTCATCATTCTATCGGATCTGTAGAGTTCGTCTTTGGAGGAATGGAGCCCACTGCTGTGACAAATAACAGCCTACCCCTGGAGCCACAAGTGAAGTCACCTAGGCAGACTCCATCACCAAGACATTGCGGCATAGATAATTCACTTCCAAATCAGACACAAAGCAAAGGTCATGAATTCAGAGGTCAACGACCTAGAAAGTGAATTAACTTAAGTAACCTTATAGCACCTTTACTATACTTGAGCGTAGACAATGCCACTTCAATTTGCTTCTCTTATAATGATGTTTTAATTCATTCAAATGTGGGTACAAATCAATTAATAACAAGAGTAACTTTGGTTATATTTTTTTTACAGTTACTGATGTAGATAATAATAAACAATGGGAAAATCTGGTCAACAGAGAGGTTATTTAGTTGTCGATTATAGGATTCCAAATAAGGCGAGTTGTGAGAAAAAAAAGAGCCCTTCTAATAAAGGAATTATTAAATGGTAGGTAAGCCTAAAAAGGTAGTAAAATTCCCGCCACTTTTATCTCTTTACTTATCCCCATGGCAACTAGTTACGGTATAAAATTATGCCAAGGTGATTCTTTTTTTAATTGTAGCAATCATCTTCTCTTTAGTCGGTACGAAAAGCTGTCCAAGATTGGCGAGGGCGCCTATGGTATGGTTTTTAAATGTCTAGACACACAGACTGGTGATATGGTGGCCGTGAAGCGTTTTAATGCCACAGATGATGATCCCTTAGTGAAGAAGATTGCCCTTCGAGAGATTAAGATGCTTAAGGTATGTGGATATGCCTTATGTTATAATATTTGCTTGTAACACTCGCGCTGTGCTCCGTCCTACTTCCCTCATCTAATATTGGTGCCAAGGCTCCAAAGGCTGATTTCCCGTCAGATTTGTCATTATGTGGCGTGGAGAGGTGTGGTACGTGCTGGGGAAAAGGGATCGTCCAGAGCCACATATCGTTTAGGTGATGGACAGATGAGAGTCAGAAAGAGAGTTTCTTTAGTCTTGCACAGAATCTAGAGCTACTTGCCACTAATGATGAAATTAACTGATTGACTTTTACATCAATTGGGAAGGGAAAACCGTGGTGACAAGCGGGAAGCTTTAAAGACTCACAATTTGTTGCTAATCTTCATAGACTGATAGACCTCTGATTAGAAATGGCTTTTTTACTATCGTATTCCAATATTCATTGGTCAAGCAAACAATATAATTTGTTGTTGCTGAGTGATGTGCTCAGCATCCACCCAGCACTTATTAAGAAGGCAGCGCCTTATGCTCACCAGACTATGCTTGTTTTGCGTGAATGTGGTAGGCTACGAATGCAAACTTCCGTGAACAGAGGTTTAAACAGTTGGGACTGAGGTCTATCCAATGCCCAGATATAATTGAAAGGCGTGAACCTAACCTCCTCTCCATTCATAAACAACAAGGAATGGTCGACCAGTGGGAAGAAAGTCATTTTTAGCCCTACAAGAAAGTTAGGGACTTACACAGGCACAAAAGCTGAATTCATGAGGAGATTTGTACCAATGGGAGACAGTACAACATTCTCCTCCTTTGCATTCCCACAAGGGCATTTCTTTAAGCAATCGGCAAACACACGAACACATGCGTAATAGAGCAGACTGCTTGGAGGTAAACTACTCACGCAGAAACGGACGTACCTGCGTGATTAGGTTTGGTTGTCTGCTTCTCATGGCAATTATTCCTGTCAAGGTGGAATCAGGGGCAAGTTGATGTCATCCTGGGGCCAATCCCGTAGGTAGTGTTGAAGTGGGCTTTACTTATGTATGATTTGGCTTTTTTATCATCCAGCTAAAATTAATAGGTTACTTTTATATTTACAGAGGTTGAAACATCCCAATTTGGTGAACTTGATAGAAGTATTTCGACGGAAAAAAAAACTACATCTGGTCTTTCAGTATATCGACCACAGCCTCCTTCACGAACTTGACAGTCAAGGTCCAAAGTAAGAGGTTGATATATTTAAAGCCCTGAACAATGCACATTCAAACACAATTCAAAAACCTCCCCATTAGTCACTTTTAGAGGCTGACTGGAAATGCTGCTTAAATTCCGCTTTAAGTGGTGCTTTTTCCTAATCCCTTTACTACTTTTGCAGTGGCATTGATAGAAACAAAATCGTGCGAATCACTTGGCAAATTCTCCTGGGCATTAATTTTTGTCATCAATCCAACGTGAGCTTCCGTTATATTTTGCTTTCACCTCACACTAATTTCAGTGCATTCACAGAGATATAAAGCCAGAAAATATTCTCATCAATGCACAAGGGGACGTAAAATTATGCGACTTCGGATTTGCTAGATTTATAGGTACGTTAACTCTTTTACAGTGAATTTATTCACCATCTAAAGAGGTTTTGAGGTGGTTTTATGTTTTCCTCTGCATACGTTCCGAATCCTATTGTAGACGACCCTTTGAGGACGTGAAACAGATGTAATTAGGAAATAACTTTTAAGACAATTAGACGGGTTTGACTGTAAATAAATCACACCCTGAATAGCAATGAATGGACACACCTATAACACCATCTGATGAGGCGATTACATTTCCCTTTGATCGGTACGAATGCGTAACAGAAAGCAAGCTGACATTCCCGTTTAGTGATTTGACAATGAATGATTATGATGATAGATTATCCTTCTAACAGCTGACGCGGGGGACACCTACACTGATTACGTGGCAACACGGTGGTATCGTTCCCCGGAGCTTCTGGTAGGGGACAAGCATTATGGGCCTCCAGTGGATATTTGGGCTGTGGGCTGCGTCTTTGCAGAGATGCTCACACGTCTGCCACTGTGGCCGGGCCGGTCGGATCTCGATCAAATCTACCTTATCACAAAAAATCTTGGTGAGGTTTTTTTTGCTACTGCCAAGTCCTTTTGCTGTGTCACTAATCACTTATTGCATCAGTATTACCATAACTCGAAGGCAGTCTTTTCTTCTCATCCATATTCTCACCATAATTCCCCCAGTTTTACTATCTCTTGAGGTGTTAGTCCCAATGCTTACGTTATAGGGGGTAAGGGTCATAGTGTTAACCTAATCCTAAACAAAGATGAGTTTTGGTGGGACATTTTAAGTGCCACCATAGAAAATACCAACCAACCCAAGATTTCTCACTAACTCTACATCGGAATACGCGGTTATTGGGGGGTGGAGAAACGTCCAAAATTGGCCCCTGTTCATTCCAACCTCCTTTTTATTGTCACTTTCTCTGCAGATTAGTCACCAACCCTTGATTTTCTTTAAAAAATCTATGAATAGTTGTTTCTGAGGCTTGGTAAACGATAATAAGTTTGGGTGTATTCAAACACTTTCACCGCCAGGCGACTCCTTCAACAATATCAGTTTGGAGGGAGATTATTGGCGAACAAAGGGAGTAAGAAAAGCTAAGATGTGAGTATAGAGCGATGTCGCCTTAAACGGAAGTCAAAGCCACGGAAATTCAAGGGCTGGAATAGTAGCAGTTCTTGAGCGTCACCTTTTGCGCCCCCCTCCAACTAACCGCAAGATAAGGTCAAAAAATAATATAAGAGGGAATTGTACTTCGGGAAGAATACCGCCCATAACTTTTTCTGTTTTGTTTGAAAAGATGAATGGAAGCTTGATCGAGCCTCATTAATAGTTAGTAGCGTGAAGAAAGGCTATAGGTCCTTTCGGACGGCTATTCCACCAAGAAGTAACTGAAAAATTACAGAGTCCAAGTAATTAGTCACACCGTAAAACAAGTGCATTACAAATAATTTAATGCTGTACCTTTATCAAATTCTTTTCAGGGAATTTACTACCCCAGCAACAAAAGACGTTTTTAACCAATAGTTATTTCACTGGCGTTGTTCTACCCCGACCGCAAATCATTGTAAGTTTTGTATCTCTACAAATACAGCGCTTTTTCATTCCCTTGCCACTTTGAAGTAATGCCCTGAAGTTGAGTCAAACTTGACCGAATTAGGCGTTATGTTACTTGACAAGAGTAGAAAAATGTGGTCTATTTTAAACTGTCCAGTAGAAACAAATTAATGCCATCCAACATGACGAGATTAGTGTCCATATCGGCTGTGCTTTCATTTAAAACAGGAGACGTCCATTGGTCATGGTGTCAAACTACCGCATGACAAGCAGAAGTAACGTACTACTAAGATGTCTATCTTTAACTATTTTCTTTTCTGTCGTTTTTAGGAGCCCCTGGAAGTTAAGTTCGAAGGAATGAGGCCAAAAATCACGCCAGCTGAGTTAGAGGTATTAAGGGTGAGTTTACTTAACAGTTAAATGTCAGAAATGCGGTTTACTTTGCTTCCAGATGTCAGTAATTGTCGAGCTCGTATCCATGGGTATACACATCTGCTAACTGAGGGTTGAAACTACAGGATGCTTCCATCCACTTTGATTGGCCGTAGTCTTGCAGCAAAGCCTCTAGTTCCCTAGACTGTCATTATCCCAATAGGAAACAGATCCTGGTGCAGAGTAGACATAAGACACCACGTCGGTGACAGCGGCAAGGAGATTCCATCTTAAAAGGCTATTGTCCTGACTTCTCTGACGTCTTACCAAACAGCGTATTATGAATGAGTGTTCATGGTCTTTCATAAGCTTGGATCTCGTCGAGATTCCGACTACAGTGATGAATGAGATACAGATGTCAAAGCTGATGTCTTTATTACTGTCACCGGATGTGAGTAAGCTGTGGACAGCATGTGCGTACACGTCCACTGCCCCAGTATGGGCGACGCGGAGTGGTCTAATTCTCACCTACTCAGTATTTTGGTTGGCCTTGGGTTTTAGTAAGGTAACGTATCTATCTAGACATGAACGAGATTGCGAGATTCGAAGCGTTCTAGAATGGTGGAGAATTGTGCACGAAGAATGAACCTTCTATAAAATAGAAATAGGTCTATTTTCTGAGGTTGTAGTCATCCTTAGCAGCCGTTCTGTCCGCAAAGTAAATGTCTGTCGATCGGACTTTAAATGAAGCAGACAGTGTTTCCAAGAGTGTACGTCCGTAGAATGAGTCCACACTACCTTGGAAGCAGCTGCATGAAACAGTTGTTTATTGGCAAAAAAGGAGACCACTGATTATGTAAACGCTGGTCAGATATATTTGTAGTGGGTGAATTCGCCAATTTTCTTTTCCGATATATACTACTTACAAACTCTTCAGCATTCGGACGCATACATTTGTTACGACACACAACAATACCGTCAATGAAAAATGGCTTATGATTCTCTTCCTCTTCTTCTTCTTTCAGTCTTGCCTTGTGATGGATCCAAACGGTCGAAGCACCTGTAGCGCCCTTCTTCAACTCCTCTACTTTGAAAAGATCCGAAGCCCCGACGCCTCCTCCAAGGAGCACTCCTTGCAAATCGATGTACCTGATGAAGCATCTGTTCAACGACCCTCTTCAAAAAATACCGAAGCGGCTATAATCTGTCTCGATGGGTTGTCATTGCAGAATCTAAGTGGAAAGGTTAGGAGAAATGAGAAGGCCACTGGACAGACGGGAGTTTCACAGTCCAACTTGACGGAGCCTCATGGCCAGAACGCATCCACGCATCACACCTTCGTGAGAGCTGATCAACGCAAACTTGACCGCAGTACGTGTTCTTTGGCGAACAAGGAAACCTCCATGAAGCTTCAACCTACGGTAAGTCGAATTGCTTAACCCTAGCATTTCCACTGCGTTCGTGTCGACTTGAAAACAAATTAATTACAACATCCCTCCACGCGGCTATATGCCAAACTTATTCTCCAGTGTATAGCCATTTCAACGCAAATAGATGTTACATTTTAGCCGACCACCTTCAGTGGTGGTGAATCAGCGTGCATTCATTGTTTTTTGGCACTTGTTTAGGTTGCTGGGACAAATGGTGTACCCAGGTTTTGTCGTATGCACTTACGCGGTCCGAAAAATCGTGGCCTAGTTTGCCATTACTCTCTCCAATTCCGAACATCATTTAAAACCTCTCTGCCATTCACAAGTAAGGAACCGCTTTGTAGCCAGCGCTAGTTAACTTTGTGGCGATGTGAGTGAGTGTCAATGATTGTCTCTTGCACAATTTTGTCTACTGACAGGCTATACGTTGACCGGGTTTCCATCCATGCAGTAAATGATCACAGGCATATCGGCTAGGAATACTGTCACTGACATACGGCCATCCAAATGTCTTGAACTAAGAGACTGAGCCTCCCAGCGCCGTAGTGAGCGTAAAGCCACCCTAGCGGCAATGAAATTTAATTGTGCGCTTATTGTCACGGTCGCTTTCGGATCGTCCAGCAAAACATGCGGACACGCTACTTAATACTGCAAAAGTAGAGGAAAGTCCCGGTTTAAATTAAACACCAATTCTCCGCATTAAATAATTAATTAGGAAGTTTCGATGGCAAATTTTTGTCCCACAAAAAAATTTGCTGCAGGGAGGGAACGCATTTACTCTTATCAGAGGGGAAAGCAATTTTGTTTACTCAATGAAACGGAGTAGAGGGTGTGGATAAATGGCGCTGAAGTATTCACGTGTAACAAAACCGACTTCACAGTTTATACCATGATTAAACTATAAAACTACATGATACACTTCAGAAATACTGCTCCCAGTAGCGGTAGAAATGAAGAAATAGATTGTGCTAGTGGAATACGGTCAGGTTTGTCGCGTCCAAATTATAGTCCCTCTAAACAACTAAATGGCTACTTGTGAAGCTGCACGTCCTTTGCGCTTCTCTAAAATTTTTTGCTGTTTGTATCTTGTGAGTCTACAGGAACACAAATAAGTGTTGCTCACAGTAAAATATTGAAGGGCTTTTTTTCCTATTCTTAAAAGACATTTCCATGGCTCAGTGGAAGTTGTGCACAACTGAACCGGCGTTCCAGCGGTGATCAGAGCCATAATTCATCACCAAATACTGCCATGACTGGTATCCAGCTGGATTTACTCTCTACACAACCACAGAGGCGTTTCCAGGGCTCGACGACAACCAATATGGCGGTGCTAATGCGAAGTGGTCATCTGACGCCCGCTTGGCCAACAGCCCATCGCACGCCGAGTGCCGATCCAAAGCATTGACACCTGACATACTCTTCTCGCCTCATCACGTCCACTTTTCTTTTACTTCTTCTCCCTAATCATTACTGTCCTCTTGGACCCACGTACTACCACGCATCTCCTAGTCTCTGTAGCATCTCCATCTGAGCTTTAACCATACTTTTGCCCTACAAACTAGAGGTGATAATAAATCTGTGAAGTTATTCCCTCATGATTATTAGTATTTTATTAATACTTTTTTTCCGAAATCTGTGGTGGTCGAGGTGGGACCTTCCAGATGGCACTTTTACTTAAAACCGCATGGCACTTTAGTGGGCTGTCAAAAGAAAATACAAGAACGCAACGCTGCCATCAAGATGTAGATCAAATCTAGCACACTGAATGTACAATCACCACGTAGGTTCCTTCCACCTTTCAACGTCTTTCACGGTCCTCGCCTTCTCGGTACCTCCCATTGACTGTCTAACAGATGGATGCAGGCTTCGAGCAGCGATTGCTTTTCGAAGTTGCGATTGACTCAATCACCTCTTTGGAATTCAGATTACAGGCTAATTTGTCATACCAAATGGCGTTTAGTACTTGACAGAGTATGCTGGGTCATCACCCAGTATGACATTATTCATTTGCAGTACTTCTGGCCTGTGAATGTACTTTGCTCTGCTACCGCACACCGAACCACCTACAAATGTCATGGACAAGAGGCTATTTCCACCAAAATCACATACGCAAGGCTTAACCGACATTTGTCTAGATGAGGAATTGGGATGATTGCCAAAAGCAGGTGTCAGTTCTAATCTTTTCGTCAGTTCCCACTAATTCACCTACTTGCAGCAGATCTCCTTCTTCTGTGATGTTAAGGCCTAGTATTCAGCCACAGAATTCAGGCTGGTTGTCCTTTGTATCAGGTCTTACAGGAGAGCCGAGGTACTATCATCGCGGCTCCCATGACGAAGATCACACTCCAGAGTAGAGGTGCAACCTACGCAGGTTAATCGCCGCTTCGATAAGAACATAATCAAAAGAGTATGAAGTCACCACGATTAGTGCTTGTCACACTAATTAAAAAGCGGGCGAAAATCTCCAACTTGTTGTTCATTTTACATAATTCAAATCAAATTTGCGTATGGCATCCCATAGCGGCGCATAGACTCTATTTCGAAATATTTCCACACGGAATGTTTGTAAAACGCCACAAAGTAGGGAATATCCAGGCAGACTACTGGTAGAGCTCTCCCATTCGGAATTTCCCTCAAGGAAACGACATCCAAGTTGAGGACAGAATATTTATAAGTTCATCGAAGGTACAAAAGCGGCGTAAATAATGTAATTTTTTGATAAAAATTGGACAGACATTGGTGGGCAATCAGATTAGAGGAGATGACGGTTCTACCGCCATTGTTTGACGCAAGGTCAAATTGTACCGATTTCTGCGATGTATTTGGCAGAAGAAGAAGCCCAACAACATGCTGCGATGGTTATAAAGCCCTAAAGGAGGTTATTTGAAGTAAATTGCTGACCTCCACCAAAAGGGGGATGAAGATGCGTTTGCCGACCCCTCAGTGACCATTGCATGCTGACAAGGCGGTATTACAGTGTCTTTGTATTGTCGTGAATACGAACCATTTCAACGGCTGCAACTCTTTCAGGCTGCGTTACTTTAAGATGTGAAAAATCGTCTGGTCTTCGTCCATGTTACCTCACAGCGAAAGCAGACATCCCTTTAATAAGTACGCAAGTCCGAATTGATGAAAGGTAGCCAAATAAGATCGTGCGTTTTTTAGTTCTAAACGAAGTTTTAAAAGTACAGGAAATAAATGGGAATATTTTGTTCGTTATAATAATTCACATTGCTTTCTTTGGTTGGTAAACTTGCTGTGAAACGAATTGTCTCTACAAGCGAACAGCCCAATCCCTGGCCACAGACACGTCCGGCTTTATCTCACCAGTTGCATTTTTCATATCAAGTCTACTTTGTCTGTGTCCACGTGATTGGCTAATGCTTGAGGCAAGAAAGATGACAACTGAGACGCATCTGAGGTGAATTGAGGGGAATAGAATAGGCGGAGTGCAGATGAGAATGAGGCAGAACCCACCTGTCTGCCCACTTGCCTACCAACCTACCTCTTTGCCTCCCATCCATCCCTGAAATCAGATTGGCGACAGTGTGAAGTAAGAAGTCCTGGGCCCACTTGTAAGACTGAGGATAGGACTTTCTTTCATCTAATTGGTAAATCAGCAGTCCTGACTCTAAAGGAGGAGTCTTACTTGCACACCTCTTAGGTGTATCTTTCGTGTAGGTGGTTTGCAACCCCAACTGTTGTTTGTTCTTTCGGTCACCAGCATGAGATGCACAATGAGCAATTGTGCCTGCGGTCTGCCCCAGCCGTACCCGCACGCATATCCACGTGAGATGAGGCGATGAGTCTTGGGCAAGACGAAGGGAATTAACGCCAAAAGGCAATTTCAAACTACCTGGACGACATTTTGACTACTGAAACAAAAGAATAATCATATAGATCTTCAAGGACGACGCCTAAAGTATGAAGATGATATGGAGCCCCATTTGCGTCAGATCCAGAACCATTTAGTTTTCACGGCTATCACACGCAGACACCACACGTATCCGTAGAAAAGTTCCATTTTTAAGCAAAGCGACACACCCCTTGATATTCTTGTCAAAAAAACTGAAAGAATACTCTTATCTTGAGCCGTACAAACACAACGCCGCAGAAGCCATAAGCGGTGGTAGAATTGCAAAGGTTTTTTAGGGGGTTGTACAGTTATGGATGACTTGCGTTTCACTTGCTTTCGTATGCACGTAATGCGGTGACCAACGTAGAAATGACAGCAACTCCTGCGTTGCTAAATTTACAACATCAGACCTAGTCGAAATCAGACAAAAAACCAGGCCTACTATTAACAAGCGACCCCAAAAGTTCATATGGCTTACAGTACGGCTGGCTGCATTGGCTCATCCGAACTTGTAAGGACGTGGAAGGGGGTCCGATATGCGGTATTAGAAAAAAGTGTGGTTCTGATGTTAAACCACCCAAAGTTAGATCGCGTTCAGGATGGCTCTGAAATCATGATAATAGGGGCAAAAGATGTGTCGCTCTGGATTAGAGGAGACATTGAAATGGCAACTTTAGAGATTGCAGTGATAAAGGGACCTTCCAGTCAGGCCAGCTGACGCCCTGCTACTATTTACTAGGTCGCAGCCCAACGTCGTGAAATAACAGAGGAAAGGCAATAAGCTTGGAGGACTATCGACATCTTCTTGTTCTTCGCCTCCCTTACTGACCGATTTG